TGCTGGTTTTGCGTGCTACCTCGGCCATGGCCTCTGGGTGCCCTGGAGGAATAGGCTCCTCAAACCATAAGGGGTCGTACTTTTCTAAGCGTTTTGCCAGGCGAATGGCCGAGGCGGGAGTCATTTGCCCATGGGTTCCAAACAGCAAATCGCAACGGTTGCCTACGGCTTCCCGTATGGTTTTGCAAAACAGCTCACACCGCTCCATTACCGCTAAGGAGATATGATGCCCAGAGTATGCGGTATAGGGGCCTGCGGGGTCAAATTTAACAGCGGTAAAACCCAAGTCTGCCATTTCAACAGCACATTGTGCTGCCAGCTGCGGGTTGTCATAGTCGTATTCGCCTTGGCTGTTTACGGGGTAAAGATAGGTGTAAGTACGCAGCTTTTCATGCACCAAACCACCCAGTAGTTCATATACAGGCTTATTGGCAGCTTTGCCGATGATGTCCCAACAAGCCATCTCTAGCCCACTGACTACGCCCATCATGGAAAGGTCTGGGCGTTGCGTAAACCCGCTCGAATAGCACTGTCGCCAAAACCGCTCAATATGATGTGGGTCCTGGTTTTGCAAATAACGCTCAAAAACATCTTGCACCATAGCGGCAACCACGGTGGGGTGGAAGGTGGCGGAGTATATTTCACCCACGCCTTGAATGCCACAATCGGTACGCAGTTGCACAAAAATCCAATACATACCTCCCAAATGTGGGGGAGGTACGGCAACAATGTGGGTCTGTAGTTCTACAATTTTCATGGTATTAATGTAAGAAGATGCAAAGCTTCTTGGGAAGAAGGCAGAGGGTTCACTAATAAGGCATAACGACCAGACGGGTCTGTGTAAATTCCAGCATACCATGTTTGCCATCGTCTCCCCCCAGACCTGAGCGTTTCCAGCCCGCATGATAGCCTTGATAAGGGTCTGCGGGGATGCGATTTATATACAGTTCCCCCGCTTCTATAGTGTTGGCTGCCAACATGATATCCCGGTATCGCTCCGTAAAGAGAACCGAGGACAGACCAAACTGATGGTCGTTAGCCATAGACAACGCATCTTCGATATTTTCGTAGGCAAGCACGCACAATATGGGTGCAAAGGTTTCTTCCTGCACTATCTCCATATCTTGCCTGCAATGGCTAAGTAAGGTGGGTGGGTAAAAGTACCCCGGTCCATCAGGAAGGTAGCCTCCCGTCTCAAGCGTTGCCCCTTGCGCTATGGCCTTCATCACCATGGCGTGTGTTCGGGTTTGGGCTGCTGCATTGACCAGTGGTCCCATATGCAGAGGGTCTATCTGACGGTTGCCCAAGGTTTTGCCTTGCATATACGTCTTAAGCAGCGCAAGCAGTTTGTCGTGTATTTTGGCCTGGGCGTACACCCTTTCTACTGCGGTACACAGTTGCCCACTGTGTGTGGTTTTAGAGGCTACGATAGCCTGTGCTGCTGCTTGCAAATGGGTATCATCCGCGACGATGGCAGGCGTTTTTCCACCCAACTCTAATGAGGCTTTGGCAATATTGTGTTTGCAGTATTCCAACACCTGTTGTCCAGCATATACGCTGCCCGTTAGGCTAATCATAGCCACTGCAGGCTGCGTACACAGCGTTGCGGCTGTTTCGTGCGACATGCACATGATATTAACAACGCCTGGGGGTAATGCCGCTTGCTGTACCACTTGTGCAAAGGCAAGGGCAGAGCATGGTGTATGGTTGCTGGGGCGCACAATAACCGTGTTACCCGTAATAAGTGCAGGGGCAATTTTGCGCAGCAGCGTGTAGATAGGAAAGTTAAAAGGAATGAGACAGACCGCAACGCCAAGAGGCTCGCGCATGAGAAAAATATTCTCTTGCGCATTGTCGCTGGGTATAACCTCACCCTCTATGCGTCTTGCCCATCCTGCGTGGTAGCGCAAAATCTCCGCCGCATAGAGCACTTCATTGGTGGCATCTTCCAGACTTTTTCCGGTTTCGTTTGCCAGCACAGGAGCGAGAGTTTTTGCCTGCGCCGTCAATACAGAAGCTAGACGGTGCAAGTGCTCGCCGCGCTCTTGCGAGCTAAGTTTGCGCCAAAGTTGTTGCGCTATTTTGGCTTTCTCTACTGCCAATCTGGCTTCATCAGGCGTGGCACAGGCCACTTTGGCGAATATAGTCTCGGTGGCGGGGTTACGCACCTCTATAAATTCGGCGGCATTTTCAAGAAAACCACCATTGAAATAATTGTGATAAATCTGCACTTGCTTGTACCCCAGCTGGCTTATAGACCACCCATTAAGAAATACTTTAATTGCACATATTCATCAATGCCGTACTTGGATCCTTCCCTGCCCAGTCCAGAAGCTTTCATACCACCAAAAGGTGCAACCTCTGTGGAGATGATGCCTTCATTGATACCGATCATGCCGCATTGCAATTTTTCGCCCACACGCCAAACACGCCCTATATCACGGGTGTAAAAGTAAGAGGATAGGCCGTACTCAGTATCGTTTGCCATTTTGATGACCTCCTCTTCGGTCGAGAAGCGGTAGCAGGCTGCGACAGGGCCAAAGGTTTCCTCCTGGCTCATTTCCATGTCCAGTGAGGCATTGGCAATAATGGTGGGCAAATAAAAGGTTCCCCCCTGCGCAGCTGGCTGCCCACCAGTTACAAGCGTACCGCCTTTGGCCAATGCATCTTC